AATCCATATTGATTGCTGCAGTCCTTGACCATCTGAACCAAGCACTTCAGGTCCTCCTCAGTTTCAGCAAATATGGTGTGTCATCTGCATAATGGAGATTGTTGATGAATCTTCCCCCACTCCTGATGCCCTATACCTCCCCATACAGCCCAGCCTCTTGGATAATCTGTTTTGCATATAGATTGAAAAGGTATTGAGATTGGACATATACCTGGCATACACCTTTCCCAATTTTGAGCTACACAGTATTTCATTGCTCTGTATCGAAGAAGTTCAGGCTGCTTTGAAAGAAATGGCAAAAAATAAGGCCCAAGGAATAGATGGTATACCAATTGACATATTTCAACTAACAGATGCTGCCCAGGACATGCTTACCAAGTTGTGCCAAGAAATTTGGAGAACAACCATTGGCCAACTGACTGGAAGAGATCTATATTTGTTCCCATTCCAAATAAGGGTGACCCAACAAAGTGTGGAAACTATAGAACAATCTGATTGATTTCACATGCAAGCAAGACTCTACTGAAGATTATCCAAAAATGACTGTAACAGCACATCAGCAGAGAACTGCCAGAAGTCCAGGCTGGGTTTAGAAGGGGTCGTGGTACTAGGAATATTGTAGCTGATGTTAGATGGACCTTAGCTGAAAGCAGGGAATATACCGGAGGAATGTATATCTGTGTTTCATTGATTATGCAAAGGCATTTGACTGTGTAGATCATAAACTGTGGCTGACTCTGAGAAGAATGGGAATCCCGGAACATTTGACCATGCTAATGTGAAACCTATACTTGGACCAGGAGACAGTCGCCAAACAGAGCAAGGGAACACTGCATGGTTCAAAATTGGGAAGGGTGTACGCCAGAAATGCGTCCGATCTCCATACCTTTTCAACTTGTATGCAGAACACATTATCCGGGAGGCTGGGCTCTATGAGGAGAAATATGGGGTCAAGACTGGTGGAAGATCTATCAACAATCTACGTTATGCAGATGACACACCCCTGCTTGCTGAAACTGAGGAGGACCTGAAGCACTTGCTGCAGAGGGTCAAGGACTGCAGCCTCCAATATGGATTGAAGTTCAATGTCAAGAAGACAAAGATTCTCACGACTGGGCCAATTGGCAGCATCAGGATGGATGGTGAAGAAATTGAGATTGTTCACAGCTTTAGTCTGCTTTGGCTCCACAGCCAACATTCTTGGCACCAGTAGCCAGGAAATTAAATGGTGCATTGCCATGGGATAGTCTGCTGTTAGGGACCTCTCCAAAGTACTGAAGAGCAGTGGTGTCTCTCTGGATACTAAGGTGCGTCTGATACAGGCCATGGTCTTTGCAATCACTTGTTATGCATCAGAGAGTTGGACAGTCACCAAGGAGGATAGAAGAACTGATGCCTTTGAGCTGTGGTGCTGGAGAAGAGTATTGAGAATACCATGGACTGCTAGGAAAACAAACAGATTCATCCTGGAAAAAGTTAAACTGAGTGGGTCCTTGGAGGCAAGGTTCTGAGGATCCGTCTAACATACTTTGGGCATGTTGTAAGGAGGGACTGATGCTTGGAGAGGGACATCATGCTTGGGAGGGTGGAGGGACAGCACTGGAGAGGAAGGCCCTTTATGAGGTGGATTTATTCAGTGACTGAGATAATCGGGATGTGAGTGTCAGAGACAATGCAGTTACCACAGGACAGAGCAGAGTTTAGGGCTGTTGTACATAGAGTCGCTATGAGTGGCAAGCGACTTGACGGCACGTAAAAACAACAACATCATCACTGTAGAACAAAACCTTTCCAGAATCCAAACCTATCTTATCCTCAAAGGATTCATATTTTAATGGTGAAATTACGAGTGCATTCTGGTGAGAATACAGGGATAAAAGTTACTCTTCCTTTTATAATTTTAAAAGGTGTGATGTAGCATTATCAACATTAAAATTGTGGCTATGAAAATATTGGACTAGAAGGAAAATGAATAAAATTTAAAAGAAATTGCAAGTGTAGAAAAATTTCCTTCAGGTATAAGATAACTTTCTTCTGAAGGATATTGTTTAACAAATGAGTATCAAGAATTAATGATTGAAATGCTTGTTGTGAGTTTCACTCATTGAAAAAATGACATTCAGTATGAAAAATTAGGTTTCAATTACGCTTTTGATAGAAATAATGACGTCATAGAAAGGAAGACATTGGCAGTGAAAGAAATACCTATAATTCATATATGAAGCAATAAATATGCCAACATGAAAGGCTTAATTCACATCCTGAAATAAGATAACAAAATTTATCACTTTTAAGGTTTAAATACTACAGAATTTTACAGAGGATATATATGTTTCTCCTATGATATTTGATGCATGTGTATGTGAGCATTTGTATGTGTGTGCATGACTGTTCTTGTTTTATTTATTATTTTTTATAAAACTAGGGGAAGACCTGCAGTATCCGTAAATATCTAGTTTACCTATGATTACCCACACATTATATTGCATTGTTACGAAGAATTTACTTTAGATTTGATTTTGTACGATTGTGCATGTGCTAATTTGCATTTATATAATCAATTGTGCATATCCCGTATTGCTAATTGAAGTCAGTTTTCATTCCTTGAGCTTACTTTCTCTTCAGGCAACTGAAAACCTTAAAGGCAAGAAACCAGTATAGGGTGAACAATTTGTCATGGATAATCTGCAAAGTAAATAAACCCAGTGTGAATAATTGAAAGTTGGCTAGGGTTATAACATAAGAACTATTTAAAGTTAATTCAAAGACAAAGACTTCCATAGTAAATTCCTTCTTATCCTACTGCTAGAAAAGGCAGACACGTCTCTTTATCCGCAGAGAGGCTTTTATGTATTATCCGTCTTATGTGTACTTTGACATCTTATCTGCCAACACATAGACTTTATCTTCTTGATGAAGTGAGTTAGTATTAAAGTAACTTGGCAATATGAGAAACGTACAATTTTTTTCCATGCATGTTTAGCCTCAGGATTAAAGCGTTTTCTGAATTTCAATATTAGAGGAATGTTTGTGTGTTTTCCAGAGTTTAAGCTGAAATTGAAATTCAAGAAACTACAAATTAATCAAGAAAATGCCTTCATTTGTGAAAAGGGCTTTTGTATTATTTTAATTTTAAAATAAAAAGATATTAATAATGGCAAACTAAATGTTTACATATTTTGATGTACATGTTTTTCAGTTTAGTAATCTCTTTAAGCTTTTACATAGTTAAAATAGTACACGTTAGAGATAATTTATATACTAATTCCCCAGGCAACAATAACAACATAGAGCTCTGTTGGAAAGTTAAGTGTATAGAAAGTTAAGCTACCAAGTCAATGGTGGGTAATTTTAATCTGTGGCTCTCAGGCCTGGTTTTAATTGGTTTTGGTCAGACATCCTTCAGAATGGAATATAGCACTGGTCTGGTCTGTCCATTTGCTGTACAGAGGTAACTCATTGTTGCTGTGATTTTAAACACTGTGACACTGATGTGTCAAATGGAATAAGGGTTACCCATGGTGGACAGTGTTTGGTGGAGCTTCACGATTAAAACAAGCTTGGAAGCAGGAGTGGCATCCACTTCCAAAATAGCTTGTCTCTGGAAACTCTGTGTACTTGGAGAAATGATGAAAGTTATACAAGGGTTCAGTTCTTTCATTTATAGGGTCGCTATGAGTCTTCTATGATTCAATGGCACTTAAAAACAACAGTTCACCCAGTATTACCAAATCAGATAAGAATTTGGAACACATGAGGGAAAGAACTGTTTAAAAGAAATATAGGATTAGCCATTATCAGTATGAAAAAGGTCTAGAATAAAAGGTGCATAACAAAGTAGACTTGGAGAGAGGTGGAGGGAAGGGAGAAAATTATGCAAAAATGAATGTGGTTGGTTGTTTGGTTTTGGGGTTTTTTTTTAAATTTTATTTTATTTCATTATTTTTTGTGTATACTGTCAAATCAGATCTGACTGATACAGGAGGAGATTGTTCCTCCTTCTCCAGCAGAGGATCTGGTGGATTTGAACCGTGTACCTCTGAGATTGCAGTGCAGCTTCTTGCCACTAGGCCACCAGAGCTCACCTTGTTGTTTTGGTTTTTTTAAATAAAGGTGAACTGAGGGATAGTGAGGAAAATGTTCAATCAATGAATGAAAATCTAACTTTTCTGTAAACTTTTGTTAAAATCACAATAATAATAAATCTGTTATTTGGTGCAGAACCAATTTTTTATGTTCAACAACAATTATTCTTCTTGCCTAGTACATTTTGTTTTGTAATGTCATCATAATTAGCGAGCTCTGGTGGCTTGGTCAGTAGGGAGTTGCCCTGCTTACGTTACCCAAGGGTAGTGCCTCTCTGCACGTTCAAATGCACTAGCTGCTCTGGGGAAGTGGGGGGAAGGGCAGTCTCATACTCTGGGATTTACAGCTTCTAAAATCCTGCTGGAAGGTCAGCTATGAGTTGATTCCTACTAGACATCAGTGAGTTTTTGTGAGATTATGTTTCTTTTCAAATGTGGTTGTAATTAAGTTGATAGAATTTTTTATGAATTCTTTAAAAAAATTAAATTTTTTTAAAAGTGCACATAGCATTGAAACAGACGAGGGAGAGAACTGTATAAAAGGAATATATGATTAGGTATTATTGGCATGACAAGAGTCCAGAATAAGAGCTGCATAGTAAAGTGGTCCAGGGAAGGGGGGACTGTATAAAATGAAAGAACTTTTTTTCCAAAGAAAAAGGCTAACTGGGGGAGGGGGGGAGGGCAGGAAGGAAAATGTATGAAAATCCATGTTCTTTGTAAACTTTCATTAAAATCTCATTAATAAAAAGAAATAATTGAAGTTCACAAATGAAATGTTTTTCATTCAGTCATCCACAGAAATTTTTAAAAGATATTTATAAATATTTTGTTCCATTCATATTGGAGAGTTTTAATTCCAATTTTATCTATGATTTCTTTTTTCTAATTTATTTCCTACTTTTCTAATTGTAGGTTTTATATACACTGGAGAAGTTGTCCATCGAATGCTAACAGCCACACAGTACATAGCACCATTAATGGCAAATTTTGATCCCAGTGTGTCCAGAAATTCAACAGTCAGATATTTTGACAATGGTATGTATTGTTTAGCTCTTCTTCTCCTCCCCCCCGCCCCCTTCCTTTAATGGCTGTATGCTTGCAGATGTTTAAAAGAGACCTTATAGTCAGTGGTTAAGTGCTTGACTGCTGATCAATAGGTTCATAAGTCTACTTCTGTAAAGGTCACAATCTTGGAGGTCCTATGG